TAGACAGAAACTCTCAAACATTCTAACTCTATTACTTGAAATGTTTTTATGTTTTGTTATTAAGTCTACAGGCACAAGGAAGCTCCGAACACTATGAAGACTAAGAACTAGAAGCTCTGATCAAAATGTAGAAGCTCATGTTGCTCTGATCAAACATGAAGTTCTGATATATGAAGCGCTGATCAACCTAACACTCTGATCCGAAGCAAAGCTCTGACAGGAAAAGCTCTGAAGCTCTGCTCTCTGATAAGTCAAAGACTTATAATCTGATGCTCAAAGATAGAAAAAGATTTGACTCTGAAGAACACGCATATCAAAGGGAAGTAACAAACTCAGGGGGAGTATTTCTTAACTCTGACTTCTCCGTACTTCTTATTCTGATACATAGATCTGATAACTTTTCACGTTATTTTTCATTTGAAATATCTAGTTTTTGTCATCATCAAAAAGGGGGAGATTGTTAGAACAATGTTTGAATCTAGTACCCTATATTTGAGTTTTGATGATAACAAAGTGAAAAGATATAGTAGTTAAATATTTCATGATTGAATTATATGCTGCCTAAAATTACTATGCTCTGACTTGCAGATATGATGATTAAAATAAGCAAGATCACGTTTTCAGCATCAGAATATGAGTTTGTGCATCAGCATCAGAAGTTGCTGAATCAGAACGTCAAGATCAGATGATCAACGCTTGCACATGCTGAAGCTTGATGAACAGAACTGCGCGTAAAACACTCTGATACAGAATCAATAGTTCATCAGCAGCAAAGCAGAATCAGAATGAGCCAAGCCAGAACGTGCATTGAAGAAGCAACGGTACTGTGCATTGAAAGCTAATCAATACCAACGGCATCATTCTAGACAAGATCTGCTCAAAAAGGAAAGCTTGTTAATAGCATTGAATCAAGAATATTTGCTTCAACGTTCATAAGTGCTATATAAACCAAGCTTTGAAGATTATCACGGCTAATGCTTCCAAACTCTCTACACGCACAAAGCTGATCAATAATCTTCACTCTACAAGTTTTGCTAAACCAACAAACTCTGATACCTTATTAGCGTTTAGCAACCTAGTATTCTAAGCTTCATTTGTGTAAACATCACAGTTGTGATATAGTTTTGTAGAAACATTCATACACATTTGCTTATACCTTTGTAAGAAAGTGTTGCCTTGACAAACCGGATTGTGGTTTGAATCAAGAAGGTTTTAGCAGTTGCTAAAGCAGATTTGTATTCAGTTGAATATAGTGAATTAAGACCTCGTTGGAGAGAGGCGAAATCACCTTGAACGGGTGGACTGGAGTAGTTTGAGATCAAACGAACCAGGATAAAAATACCTTGTCATTTGCTTTAAGATTCCAGTTTTACAATTCAACCCCCCCCCTTCTTGTGTTTTTCACCCCTTCATAAAGCTCTCAAACACTTAAACACTTGTGAAAAAAAAAACCCAGAATCTAACATTTACCTCTTTCGACTCTGGAAAGTCCCACACACTTTTGTTCCCCTACAAATCAAGCAAGAAAGAACACTATACCTATTCTCCTCCTTCGAACCCAGAAATAACAAACACCACGCTTACACATCCTGACCTTCGAATCCAATCAAAGTACACCACACCTGTTTCTTTCCTTCAAATCCAGGAGCATTTAGTTCATCCACTTGAAGGTCCAGCACATCCTCCAGCCTCAAGCAAGGTAAGTTGTTCCAAACCTTGAGCTTTTCGTTTATGGTATAACATGTAAAATAAGATGTTATTTCATTTCAAGCATGTACATACCATTGTTCTTTTCGTTTCCACCCTTTTGATGTGTTTTCAGAGCTAACCCTTTCGCTTTGCTTCTTGTTTACCTAAACATGCATTAAGTATTAAATTGGTTGTAAGGCAATGCTAGCATGGCCTTAGGCCATGTTGCTATTTAACATCTCAAACGAAGGACAACAGGAAACATGAAATAGAGAATGAAGCCTCTGTCTTCCACACTAACCTCCAGGTCAAATGAAAGAGGCAACCAGAAGGCACACCATGTGGCCTTGTAGACCCAGACGAAAAGCATGCCTACAATGATTCCAGTCCCAGTCAAAAGGCACTCCCTCACTGCTTTCAACCCCCATTCGAAGGAGGCAAAAAGGAAGATTGCATGTTGCACTGGTTCCAGGCCCAGTCGAAAGGCATAACATGCTGACTTCTAGGCCCCAATTGAAAGGCTTAACATGATGACCCCCAAGCCTCAGTCGAAAGCCACACCTTCACCCCATCCAGGCCAGATCGAAAGAAGTCAGAAGAGAAGAATTGAAGGATGCTGCTGCCTGGATCGAAAGTATTATTTTCCCTTCTTTATTTTATTTTTGTCTTTATATTTTCTTGCTATTCAATATGGTAGTAATAGTGTAGGATATTTATTTTCTGCATTTTTATTGCTTTATATAAATGTTAGTAATTAGGACGTATGGCAAGATAAACCAACAAGTAGACAACCCAAAAATCAAAGACTAAATGCATGCAAATCAAAAACATTATCCACACATGCACCCATAGGGTTAACTCCACTTGTTTCCTAAAAATGGTCATGTTATGCATGTGAGACGTCTCAACAAAAACAATCAAAATACAAGATCATAGTCCCTCGATGACGCTTTGAATGTTGCCTTACAAATGATATTAGTCCCTTAAGAGAAATGCTAAGATATCTCAAAACATTTCTATCATGACTATACGATGACCCACGCCCGTCCCTTCACATCCAATGATGGAACTTCTTACCAAATCAATGGTAAGATAGCAACACCTAAAGAAGGAGGAAAAGAACATAAAAGACCTTTTGAGTAGGTAGGTTGCTCCTAGTTGCTTGCTTGCTCACAACAAAAACATTTTATACACCAACACTTTCATTTTGAAACATTTTCAAAAGAAATCACTTTGTATGCGTTCTTACAGAAACGAGAATCATTACAAAGACACCCTTTTGAAAATCACTTTCAAAAATACATTACACAAATACTTCTTTGAACTATTTTCCAAACAACACTTTGTATGCGTACTTATAGAAACGAGAATCATTACAAAGGCACGTTTTCAAAATACTTTAAAAACCACACCACATAGCACACTTTCAAACAAAAGCAAGTGATCTAGCAAGCAACTAAGAGCCCATATATAACTATGGATGAAAAGGGTGGTAACACCTTCCCTTTTCATAATCTACCCCCCGAACTCAAGAAAATAATCTCGAAAGGTCTTTCCTGTTCTTTTCAGACTTTCCTTATTGGATAAAAGAAAAGTCGGTGGCGACTCTTGTTATCCGCAACAATTGCGATCAAACGCAAAACACCCATATCAGTTCTCCCACCGTGTTACACATCCCAATGCAAGGTGTGCATACCATTATAATAGTCTTGGAAATGATACGAATGGCTGTTGGGTGTTGAAGAACAAGATTCAAGATACGATTGACGCTAAGAAGATTGAGTTTGACCCTCCTAAGACTCCTAATGTGATAACTGCTCCCATGCCAAATCATGACTAAGATTCAGAGCGTCTAGTTCATTTGAATTTTCTGCTGTAATTTATTTTGTTTGTTCGGACACTTATCTTTATGTCAAACTTTGTTTTTTTGTTTCATTAATGCATTGCATATGTTTGTCTTGAATTAATCCATTCGTTTTCACTATATTTAAACCGTGCTTTTTACTTCATTTTTGTGATATTCAACTCTCATTAAAAGCTATAAGCCTTTAGAGGGAGGATGACAAAAACGATACCATAATCTCATACAATATGCTTTTGAACAGACCTTGCTGACAATGTACATGCGTTGCTTCAATTCCTAAACAGTGGAGATATAAGGAAGTTAATCCCTAGTCAACCCCTTTGAGCCTAAGAAGTAGGAGTTTTCTTTTTCACGCAAATTGAAATCCTTAATCGTAACCTGGGGCACGGTAGTTTCTCAGTTAATTCAATTGCGCATTCAATCACAAGATTTTCCTTTGTACACAACAGGTAGTATCAAAGACATCCTTCTAAATCAAAAGTTGATGATGGTTCCCCGTAATCATTAAGTCGGGCAGTCATTATCTTTCAAAAGAAAAGCCCGCTAAGTCAAAACCTATAAAGGAGACTTAGGAAAAAAACTGGGGGCATCCCGCTGACTGTAATCTCAAACAAAACAGTTCAGGCAAAAGTTAGGGATAATAAATTCAAAAAGAGGTCTCTACAAATCCTCAACAAAAGAAAGATGTTACAAGAAAAAATGACTGCCTTCTGAAATAAAATTTCAATTTCTGAACTATCACCAAGTATCAATGCTACAATTCCAAACTGTGTTGGAACCTAAATGCATAATTAACTAAATATAGGAATGAAGGACATCATGGATAACAGTTTGAATACAAATAAACTTTGAGCCTCTATCTTTTGTTTCTTAAACCGTGAACCAGGCCACATAACAGCTCTTCAAAGTTCTAACTGAAGCATTAGTTAGTTTGAAAACATATTGTTACAAAAATGTATCCTGACTCTTGTAAGACTTACTATAAATCCCGAGTTGATATCACATTCTTACAAATTTTGTTTTACTAAAAAATTAATTTTTTAAACTTTAAGACAGACATAAACTTTGCGTTTTAGTACCATTGTTTGCATATGACTAAGTGTTTGACAACATAGAAATTCGCATGACGAATATCCAATGAATGAAAATCCTTCGAATGGATATAATTACTTCAGATGATATGTCAAAGAGAAAGACACTTCCGATAACAGGCCTTTTGTGGACCCAATTGGTTATAAATCAAGGGGCATGACATGTTATTGTCTAACTCGTTTGTGGTAGTCAAGTCAAGATTCAAAGAATCTCTCAAAAGTGTTGTATCGCCAAAGGAAAATCTCCATCTAAATCACTTGGAGCATGTTACATTGATCATGAGTTTTAGCAAAAACCTTTATGAAAATTGAATCTTCAATATCACCAAATTGTTTGTCTATGTCAACAATATCAGATGGTGTCGGGAAGAGAAAAAACAAAAATTAGGAGGAGGAAACAACATTATAGAAAGGAAAGAGAGGAAACAAATATTTGTCTCCATCCGCAATTGACCCTGTACTCTGTCGCGCCACCATCAGCGCTCCCTGGAAATCAGCGTCGGCCACTAACCTCGATAACACCGGCGTACACATATCGTAGCCGACCAGCCACAACACACCGTGATAGTCGCGGCCAACACCAACTTGCGACGAACCCAACCGCTACCGGCAACTGCCCTCCTTCAACTTCCGCGAAAACCGCACAGCAGATCTGCGCACAAGCTCCAACACAGATGGAACCGACGAACTTAAGCCATCAGCTCCGTTCCACCATCTCCAACGCACATAGCCGCTCGCAACTCCTGTCGTCTTTACCTTTCAACGTCCATCGTGCTTCCGATCTGACGAGGCACCTGACTGTTGGACCACTTCCTTCATTTCTTTTTTTTTTCTTTGCTTTTCTTTTACTGTCATTTTCATGGGTGAGAGTACTGATAAAGTTTTCACTATTTTATGTTAAACTGAAGATAAGAAGTGATTATATCACCTACCGTTCATAATTCCACAATATATGTTGTTTCTTTATTTTTTTGTTATTTTTAATAAACAGGTGCCATGTGTCAGATCTTCATTGGAGGAGATTTCAATTAAAAAATAAATAAAATAATAACAATGAATAACAACATAAAATGAACAAGAGGCACCGCCCCTGTAGCACACGCTACCTTTTCTTTATTTGTTAGTTAGTTTTTCTTTCTTTTGCTTTTTTTATAAATTTAATTTATTTATTGTTATCATTTTAATTAGGATTAGAGTTTGGGCCAATAAGGCCCTATTATTATCACACCCCACTCTCTATAATTAATACTCCTCTTAGGTATTGTTTGATCTATTTATTTACTTAATCAAAGTCTTTATATTTAATTAGTTAATTTGTAGGTTGATTAATATATGAATATACTAATTTAAGAATAATAACAACATACATCATAAATCAAATTATTTCAACCTTTTTATAGTGAGATTGATAGATTTTTCATATACCATGTCTTCGAAGAAGCGATTGGTTGACTCATTGTCTATCAGTCAATTATTCAAAATAAAAACCCACGCAATTTCAAATACTACATCCGCGAGTGACACATGGCCAATATATGGTCACGTGTTAAGGAGACTACATCAGACTCTCTCTTCCTCCGTCTAAAAATATTAAACCAAACACCAAATCTTTTTTCGCAAATTAATTCAAACAATTAATTTTCAAAAAGAAATACAAAGAGTTTTTAATTAACTTCACGCTTAGTTCAAAATCTCCGCTATCTACACATTCGAACTAAGTACGTGGAAAATTAAAATATCTTGTGTAATCCATAAAAAACACGAACCAACCGCGAACTACGAAATGAGACCTTGATTCCTCCTAAGAGGATACGTAGGCATACGATCAAAAATCGTGGCGAGTCCCCCTATTTAAAATTAAAACCATTTCCCCCCTATTTAAAATTAAAACCATTTTCTCGCTAATTAAAATTCAAACCATTTTCCCTAGTAAAGGAATAAAAACTCTATTTCCTAAACATCACGCTTCTAAACCTAGTATCCTTGTGAACAAGGTAGATAAGGGGTGCCACACCTTCCCCTCGTTTAGAACTGAGTATAAATCTAGAATCTCTGAAACTTTTTAGGGTTATTTCTTTATACTCCATTCCTTTAGGATAAAAATTAAGGGTGTCGACTCTGATTAAAAACCAGTTACAACAACCATGAGCCCTAAGCCTCTATTAAATTTTCTTGGCACATTACTTAACACTTCACTCCTTACCATACAAGATCACTCTTCACTACACACTTGCCTTATATGTCATCTATTGCTTGATGCTTACTTTATTTATTTTTTCCTTCTTGTATGAATAACATGTTCCCTTAGGATGTTAGTTTCATTTTCTTTGAGATGTGAACTAACTAGACTTTAGGTTCTTGTCCATCCATGCTAACTTAGATAGAAGTTTCCATTTTAACCTTAACCTTAGGGACATCATTGTATAATAACATTAGGATCTTGCTAGTCTCCCTTAGACTTTTTTATTCCCCTTTTTGCATACTCTTAAAACAAAAACTTCATTTTATTTATCAAAACCTCAAAACACTTAATAATAAATGATGAGAATCACACTTCCGCTAAGAGATTGAAATGATAAGCAGGTTTCTTCTCGATCTTATCATTCTTGCATTTGTTAGTCTTTTGTGTGGTTCAAGTCTCAAACTCTTTTTATTAATAAGTGGAGAATTGGCTAAATAACTCTCTTTAGAGATCAATTATTTATTATTCATAACAAAAACATAAACAAATTTGACCATCTTTTTCCACTTGGCTTTTCTTTTGAAAACTCTTTTCATAAATGAATGTGTTTTAGCCATTCCAACACGAAGCAAACTCAACGACTTAAGCCTCTTCAATGAGCAACCAACAAGTCAATGCTCCAACGTGTGAATATCTAACGCATCATTCTCCTAAAAAACACAAATTAAACAAACAAAAATTCTAGAAGACTACCAGTGCCCTGATCTCCTATTGCACGAAAGGTGGTACGTAGGCATTAAAGGTTCGCAACCACGACGGGCACAACTAATAAAGACCTTCTTTTTGTAAATAATTTGCATGCGTTCCATTTTAGCATTTAGCTTTAGAATATATTTTTATACATCCTTAGATTAGAACAAATTTAAGTGGATCCCGTGGAGTACCACAAACGTGAGGGGTGCTAGTACCTTCCCCTCGCGTAATCGACGTTATTACCCTTTCTCTTGGTCGTGAGACCATGTTATTTTCCTTCCTTTATGTTTACTCAGCGTTTCCTTTCTCTCTCTTAGGATAAATAACATTGATGGCGACTCTTTTATCTTTCGCCTTTGTTCGCGCTTCGATGAAAATCCAAGACGCGATACAAACAACTTTAACTTTTCCTACAAACAAGGTCTTCAATCATTAGTTTCCTAAATAATCTCCATATTTAGAAACTGCACAATCTTCAAATATTATGACTTTATTTTCTTGACCTTTAATTTAGCGCCACATAGGACTGCATAATATTTCCATAATATTCTGCTTCTGTTAAATCAAACTGAATTCACTTATCCAGCTGAGCTCAGGCGCAATGTCGTATGCTCCTTCGTAGGACATATTATACGACATGTTATTCTAGATGTTGAAATACTTCAACTCAACATGTCCTAACATAAATTACGACTTCTTGCTCGACATGTTCTTCATATAAAGACAACAAATCCTATTTAACATATTGTTGCTATATTTTTTTTACAAAAATTAATGCCAACCTTAAAACTAAGGAACTTACAATCTCTCCCTTTTGCAAATTTTGGATAAAACAAATATATTAAAAATTATAACCAAATAATACAGCAACAAAAAAAACATCTACCAACAGTAGTACTCATAAACTATTGAACACAGCAGCACAACAACATGGAGTCAGTCTCCAGTAAAGATGTTGGGACATCTTTGTTTGATATCTTCTTTCCATCATTTTGAATGAGCTCCATTGTAGTACAAACTTCAGCATCAAAGAACAAAAACATCAGGATAAAAGGAAGGAAAGTCCTGAAGATATTTGATGCAACTAATCCAGACGAGGAAGATAATAGGTCTACACTCCCCCTCAACCCAGGAACCTATTCTTGTCACAGATGATGAATAGATCTTCCTTTCAACTGGTGGAAAAAGAAGACCATGAAGCCACCACCAGTCAATCTGTGGCATAAGAGGAAACTTAAGAAGTATCCAACCACCACCCTAGGTAACTCAGAACACAGTTCACGACTGTGTCCATAACTCAGATTACAAATCACAAAACAAGACACAGAAACAGGATAGAACATCTTATCTGACATTTGTGTATAGAAACTGTAAGAAACTCATGTGGTTTCAACATCTGAGCTAATCCTTTCTCCCCCTTTTTAACAAAAAATTGGCAAAAGAGGCCTTCACAAAACGAGACCAAAGCACGGCTCACCCGAACCCGAACAAACTCTATAAGAATTATGAACAAATCAAATACTCGCAGGGTGAAAGAGGAAATGAGAAACCTCTATAAGTGGCTGGACATGCACTTGGGAAATAACAATCCTTGAATGTAGCAATAATCTTTGTCAAAAGGAAACTTTATTTGAGAAGAAACTTCCACCAAATACAATGTGCTCCATCCGAAATAGCTTTGGACGCATTTAAAAACTATAGATTATTTCTTCTGAGCAAAACATGTCCCAATATATGCACATGCACATCCACCCATATTTTCTCCACTCCTTTCTGTCACGTGCTTAATCACACTGGCCACAAAAACCCTTTGTTGATCATACATGAAACATGTCTTGAATAATGTCTTAACACCCAGTCTTACATTGCCTTCTTCTACTTGCACTTTAACCAACACGTTTTCATCCACATTGTATTATAAGTGTTATCCTTTCACTTAGACTTAGTGACACACACCAAGACATCATAATGACACATTTGTGACATCTCTCAGTAATAAAGACCCTGAGAGTCGTTCACAAAATCTGTAAAGAAAAATAAATTCTCCCATACTCAACCATTAAACACTTAGGAAATATGTTAACTTCTGATAGTTCTTCCAGCTTCACATGGCTAGAACCAACCATGCCTTGTCAAGTTCACCAAAAACTTCATAATATCACAACATGTTGTCTGACATCACACCCTCATAAAAGGCATAAGATATCCATAATTTCGAACAACACTCTAATATTTGTACCATTGCAATAACAATCTATAAAAAATACATGAATCCCTCTGTCATGCATAAAAAATGCTCTAGTTGAAGATGAAAACTTGAGCACCTGGTGATGATTCATGAAAGACTTTAAGCTTTCATAACGAAGACAACACTTCTACAGATATGCTGAACACCAACTCCCTCAGTAGAGTTGATCCTGAATCAGATATTCTCACTCCTTGAGAATAAATCCAAGCCCGCTGACTCCTTGCATATCCATACACTGTATCATGACATTTTGAATAGGAAAGAAGTCATGCATACTAGGTGTGGAGTCACTCTTAATCTTCAAAATGTCTTACTTTGCTTAAAAGCTTTTACTAAGATCCAGATAATCAACACTCATCTGGAGTGACTTGAAATAGAAGAAAAGAACCTCCTTAAAAACACTCTACACAAACCTCAGTATCTATTAGCAGACTTCTGCCCTTACATCCACTAGTAGTTGCTGATACTAGTGGGTGTTGTAACTGGTTTGAAATTTTAGAGTCTTCGCTCTCAATTTTTATCCTAAGGAAGGGAATATAAAGGTTAACCCTAAAAGTTAGAGATTCTAGGTTTTTTTGACTTGGTTTTAGACGAAGGGAAGGTGTTAGGAACCCCTCATCTACCTTGTTCACAAGGATACTAGGTTTAGAATTAATTTTTAGGAAATAGGATTTTAATTTTTTATTAGGGGAACTCGCCACGATTTTAATCGTATGCCTACTTATAGTTCGTAGTTGGTTGTTGTTTTTATGGATTGC